TATAGGCATGTGGGCATATAAGGTCAACAATGTCACAAACATCCCTCCCCTTTGTTTACATGTGTCTGCGGCATTGCCCTTCCCACATGTAAACACAGGGGTGTGATGCTGATGACATCATTGACCTTCGATGGGCCTATTGGATCAATGTCAGTGACCTAATATAGGCATGTGGGCATATAAGGTCAACAACGTCACAAACATCCCTCCCTTTGTTTACGTATGGCTGAGGGCGGCATCCCCCTTCCCACATGTAAACAAAGGGGTGTGATGCTGATGACATCATTGACCTTCGATGGGCCTATTGGAACAATGTCAGTGACCTAATATAGGCATGTGGCCATAGAAAGTCAACAATGTCACAAACATCCCTCCCCTTTGTTTAGGTGTGCTTGTGGCATTCCCCTTCCCGCATGTAAACAAAGGGGTGTGATGCTAATGACATCATTGACCTCCTATGGACACATGGCTCTATTTGGTCAATGACAGTGACATACTATGGGCATGGGCACGATCATCCCACCCCACCACGGGATGGGGAGTGCCCCGGTTGCGACTAATTGGGCAAGTACTGGGTTCAGATGAGCTCAGGTTCTGATCAATCCCAGGCTGATCCCTACTATTACAAATCGCACATATAGCCCATTTATTACTTCCTCCAGCCCCATGACAAACTCTGTACGGACCCCGGGGGCTGGGATGCAGACAACGCCTGCGTACTGCACCCATAATGCACTGATCGCGGTTGCAATGCTCTGCAGGCTTGAATGCAAAAAATAAATGCACATTTTTTAAAATTATATTTATTTAGTGGAAAAGGTGGCCTATGCCTTTAACTCTTCTTTACTGTGATACAAAACTTACAAAAAATAAAATAGCTTTTTCTGATCAGAGCTGAGAGTGTCAGCTGACAGCTCAGTGGAAGAGGTGCTGCAGCAGCTGATCGCTCCCTGGATAATCAGCGACACCCATCTCAGTTTACGAAGAGCCCCCCAAATCCATCCGGGCACCCCCGTGCCACCCCCTCTGGGCCCCCTCCGGCACCGGGCTCAGCGTTTCACCTTCCCCGCTTGCCCAGCGCTGGACTTTTAAAGCCCCCTCGCGCCGCCATTGGCTGCCCGCTCTCCGTGA